AAACTGCAAAAAAAATAAAAGAATTAAAAAAGTTTATAAGTTATTAGAAGGGCGATGAGGCACAGGAGAACCGTCTCCAAAAAGAAACAGGCCATTCACTTTATAATAGTTCTACCACAATATGTAAATAATCAGTCTATGAATCATAATTTCTCTCAACACGGACTGTACATCGTGCTTCCTCAAAGACTGAGGGCTTTGCCAGAAATTTGAATAAATGATTGCTTTTATATTCTTGGTTCCCCAACATGTGTTTCCCTTTAAAAAGACAACAGTTAACTGTCTCCAGCGGACTGAAGAGGAAGAGGAAGAACGGTGTATGAAGTCTGCAGGACTGTTCCACCCACATCTCTTATGGACGGTCGTGTTCAGGTACAAATCACTGCTGCTTCACTTACTGAACCAGCAGAGCAGCGTCGTTATAGTTATATGGTATCACTCACTCCCACCCCATTTAGAATTTATACTCATTATATTAACAGATATAAAGATATTTGGATGAGGACCAGTGTTTGTTGATCTCGCCCGCCTCAGTGCTTCGATCATAGATGGTGAATAAACAGTTAATGAATGAAAATTATAATCATATATAATTATATGTTGTCATTTTTATTATTACATGTTAGTGACACGACTGCTCTTCATGTGTGGAGAGGTGCTAACAAGTGTGTTCATCCCACTTTAACGAGTTCTCATTGATGAACATGAAAGTATGTGTAAAATGTTACCAGGTAGGTATATATGCTAATAAATATAACATACACAGATTCTTACAGTCTTATAGTTAGTATAATGTATAATATGTGCTTGAATTGTATGTAAAATTGTGCACACCGGGGTTTAAGCTATGAATTAGTTTTAAAATGGATTTAATTTAAAAAAAAAAACTTTATATAAACCCTCCCTGGAAAGACACTGAAGACCAGAGGTGGCACATCACAAGAGACTGTCTGTCTGTGGTTTCACAAATGATGCAGGTGTTGGTTCAGATTTCTATCTCTCTTTTTACATCATTAAAAACCAGACGACCTTGGTTTCATTGCCACTCAGGTGGTTCAACAGTGGATTTCACGTCCTGCTGAAGTCTGACATGCCATTATCCACAGTGACGAGGTCTGAGACTATGTTGTGCTGACGTCACACCCAGGCTGCCCTCAGTCCCACCTGCTTCTGAAGCGCAGCGCAGCGCAATCAATCACTCAGCATTTCTTTCATCTGAAGCGCGTTCCTGCGGTCGACTTCCCATTTTCTGAGACAAATCAACATCCACTGCACCAACTAGTTGAAGCTGAAACCTTCATGATTTTAACAAAGTTAAAAATCATTTACTTTGTGAGGAAAAAAAACTACAGCTTCGTGAAAAAAACCCCACAAGCGCAGCAACATGGATACTTACTCGTCCAGTCATTAAACTCACTTTGTTCTAAAGTAACTTCTTATCTTTCTTATCTTAAATGTACAAAAAGTCAATTCTGTCTCACAAAAAGAGAAAAAAAAATGTAAATTTCCAAGCAATAACAATGATGTACCTCAACCACCATTACTTTCATTTTGGCCATTAAATCCTACTTTTTCTAAAATGTTTCCAGATGTGTTGACTGAGAGATACCGTTAAACCTGTGCAGCCAAACACGAAAAAACAAACAGGAAGGAAGGAATTTTTCTGTCATTGCTGTTTATGGCCACGATTCAATACCCTGATGTTAGGAGGGTGAATGCAACAGAGTAAACAACGTTAGTTTCATTCATAGTTAGTTATATTCTAGCATGACCCGTCACAATGTTACCACTGATAGTAACTATACTTATTGACGGACGTATCTCAGTTGCTTTCTTTAATTCATCAGCCTCTTGAATAACATAATTCATCGGTACAGTTGTTCCCTGCTCTTGTTGCTAGATGTTAGTTTGTCGACATGTAACGTGGTAGCCGGGAGGCTCTGGAGAATTCCCGGTGGGTCATTAACATTTCGGGCCTGACTGACTGCTATAATTAAAAATCCGGGACGAGATATGCTATAATATGTGTAGGTGTTCATATTGTATAATGTAATAAACATAGTTATGACTTTAAGTTAGGACAGGCACAATGTACACAATGCATCATATGCTGTCAACTGCACCTGAAGATCATTTGGCCAGAATTTCTTTTTGTCCTTACAGTCCAGTCAAACCAGTCAAAAAAGTCCCATTACCATTGTATTACTCTAACACAGTAATGGAATATATTAAAGCCTCCCCCCAATAATAAAAACCTAAACACAATGTATTAATGCATTCTTGTAATATTTATTAAACAGATCAATTTGTTGTGAAAGGATTAGCCCTCAGTAATCCAGTTTGATGTAATCCTCTATTTCCTAGCCTTTTGCTTTAGGGCCTGAGGCAGAAGGATATTCCCTTGACTGACAATTACAGATAATTACAGTGTCGGAGTTAAAGCTTTATTTAACAAGCTGTGTCCTAAATTACCTATAATTGACGTGGTCATTTTATAAAATCATTGACGATGTTTGACGACTCTTTTTGCTTTTCCAGATGTTTGCAGGGCCAAAGATGTGACCCACTTCTTCTGATTTACGACTTTAGAGAAAATGGCCGCGGGCCACATGAGGCGCACAAAGACCTTCCACTGAGGAGGAATTTGTTATTTTAGCAATACATTACTGAAGCCTCGTTTTGATTCTATCTGTTCGAGGCTAAAGATGCAAAAACAAATCACAAGCTGTTGGATGTGAAAGCTGAATAAACAAAATCAAATAGGGTGGCAATGATCACTGGGTTTGATTTATTTCAAATAGGTGTATCCTGACCCATAATCAATATATCATAAAATATTAATTCAGTACTTTAAAAGGTTGTGACTCATGAAACAGAAGTTCATAAGGAGTTTCCTATTTCAGGTCTCAAGTGGGGGAGTAGAATAAACACAGTGTTAGCATGAAACATTTAAATCAAAGAAACCTTCAGAATTAAAAGGCATTAAAGATGAAATGTTGTTCACAATTAATTAAACCCTGTTATGTCGCTTGGCAACGTCCCTGCATCTAACAGTCCGTTATTTACTACCAAAACCACCAAATCCATTAAAAAGGACTTTCTGGGGACAAAAAAATGAACAATAACAAGCTGCGAGGAGTGTGAGGCCCACTTATTTTAATTTTGTCAATTATATTAATTATGGGAACTGCAAAATCAGCACTTTTGTTCTGAATGACCTGGTGTACATGAGGATTTCAAATGAATTTCTGGCATTTTCCTTTTTGGCTTAATCATATTTTAGATATGTATATAATTTGACTCAATTAAAACTTAAAGATCCAATAAAGTACCGGTTTCCATTCTCCCTTTGGTTACCTTATCAGAACACCTGTTGGTGCTGTGATCACCTGTTTGATATTGGCTCTTTATAGGTTTATAAGCTACATAGAGCCATCATAGTGTCACACAAAACACAATTCAGAATTCATGAAATACACGAAATAGAATCAAAACAACTTTAATCTTTTCTTTACTTATTTAATTTGATCTGTTTTTAACAAATATGAGGGTTGTCAGAATCAGTATGGTTCAATTAAAAACAACCATGAAGAAAACCCTGAAAACCCTTTTTTTTTTTCTTTTTTTTTTTTTTAAAACAAGTTTACATGCCCCACTGAAAAGACAGAAAAAACCTGCAATGTCCAAACGTAGAGATACGTGACTGGCGTTAGCTTGGAGCTTTACCAAAAACGTCTTGGCAGGCGGAGCCGCTCTGGAGGCAGAAATAACCTGACTGGCTGTTTTAAAGTGAGATTACGTGACTTTTGATGGAGATATTTGAAGAAATAACATTTTCTTCCTCTTACAAAATAAAAGGTTGAATTAATAAGCAATTACACAAACCCTCATCCCATTCAGTTCACTTATGGGTTGCTGCTACAGCCTTACACAGTCAGGGATGACCAGTGTCTATTGTCAGCTTATGTTAAAAAACACACACTCTGACATGGACGGATGTTGCTGTGTAAAGGAATTTCCTGGGTCTGTTTGTTGACCATTGGTCTCCTTCACTTCTACTGTAAAGCTGGATTTGATCATTTATCATCATCCTCTAATTAAGACGTGTGCAAGGCAAAAAAATAACTATAAATCTTAATAGGCGGAGTCAGATATGCAAAATCTCAAATTAGCAAACTGGCAAAATGAACAATAAAAACATAACAGTGAAATAAAAAAAAATAAAAAATATATGATTTCTTTGGTGTTGAAGTCAGTACTTAAAGCAGAGACTAGTTACCCAGCATGCATCTGTGCTATAGCTTTGCACAGCTGAGCCACTGACCAGTTTTGGTCAGCTGTTATGTTGATTTTGAATCATGATTTGACAACAATCAACATCTACGTGCCATTTACTGATGTTGTTTACCTGAAGGGCCCTACACACTAGAGATGCACTAATTGATCTGCCGGCGATTGGAGTCGGGCAGTTTTTAGCTTGATTAGCCATCACTCTCACATATATCAGATTCTGTGTCGGTCACATTTACGTTCATGCGCCCCATGTCGTGCACACAGCGGCACAGACACACCCACACACCCACACACACATAAAGCTCGCAATTTGTAACACCTGTGAGGTCAAAGTAAACGATGGAGGAAGAACCACAAAAACATTCAGAACAACAAACTTAATCAGACACTTAAAACACCTTCACCACGATGAACATGTCCAGCTTCAAGAAGCTAGCAAAGACAAAGCGGCTAAAACTACTGCCCTCTGCTGACCCCACCTGTGCACGACAGCTACCTCGCTGAACTGCTGCAGGTGTTTTCCACACCGCCAGCATTGCTGTTGTAGCTTGGTTAATGGCCATCGATGATAATAATCATCCACTGTTGATGAGCGGCCCGAGCAAACATAGAGTTTAACGACTCTCCACCAGAAAGTGGTCACGTGATATTTGTTTACCCTTTTTCAGAGAGAGAGAGAGAGAGAGAGAGCGAGCCCTTCACCCAGTTATTTAGTCAATGTTTTATTATGAATATACAATTGAATTGTCCATTAAAGAAAAGTTACAAAATGTTTGTGTAGCTGTCAGTTATAGTTCTTAGACAGAAAACTGGAATCGGCCAAAATGGGAATCGGCAGGTCAGGAGATCGGAAATTGGAATCTGCCTAAGAAAATTGCAATCGCTGCATCTCTGCTATAAACAATACCTGTTCACCGCACTACATCTCTGACAGTTCTACCATTTCTGCCTCCAGAGTGGCTCAGACCATATCTGTGTCCCTAACAGCACCAGTCAGCTTTCTGGCATAAATCCGTAACTTGTCCCAGAAGAGTTGCGTCCTCTTGTCTGTCACATCATCTGAGTCCTTGGCATGGAGTCCTGCTGGTGTCCTGGGTACCAGTGTCCAAAATTGTTCATATATCCTCCAGAGTGCACCGGTGCGCCTTTGGCAGCCATGCTGATGTCCCACAGAGAGCAAGGAGAGGAGGAGGACGGCGGTGGGGGGGCTAGGTGGTCTCCCTCAGGTCCACAGGGTCCGTTCTTCATGATCTTCTTGTATTTGGATCGTTTGTTTTGGAACCATATTTTAACCTGAGAGACAAGGAAAAGGAAACGGGTTGATAAGAGTTATAAGCTGATTCACATATTTGCCTATACATGGACACTAGAGAGGAGACAGGAAGTGAGGGGAGAGAGGAGGGGTGACATGCAACAAAGGTCCTCATGAGCCAGACTCAAAATGGGGACCGTGCACTTATATGATCAGTATTCCAAGCGTCAGTTTGAATTCATGGACCTGTGATGTGTTTTTAGGTTGTAGGTCAGTGAATGTATTGTATAATAAATATCACAGAGCAACAGTCAGTTATGCTGCTCTACCTTTGATTTCACTGAGTTCTTTTTTTTTATCCTTAACCAGCACTGAGGTGGATGTTTTCATTTCATAAATGAAAATTAGAAGATATGCGTTTAAAGCCTTAAAAAACATTAAGACTAAACCTGAATAAGAAGTTACATTTTCGAACATAAACTTTGATGAAATGTTTTGTGATGAGGAGTAAAGAAATTAATTACAATGCAGTCAATGAGCAAATATTCAGTGATTTGCACATTATACTTACTGATTACTAAAATGTCCAAAAATTCCTAAAAGCATTTACTGAAATATAAGATGCTGCTTATTAATGCACCAGGTCAAATATCTTAACCAAGTTTGTATTAATACATCTCTGCCTCTGTCAGTAACATTTAGCTAGCATTAGCGGTTCTTAAGTCTCTGGCACTAATGTTCAGTAAAGTTTTGTGTTAAGAAAAAGTAACAGATTTATAGACTAAATGTATCAACAAGCCCACTAAAAAAATGTTAAAAATTAGACAAGAAGCTAAAACAAAACTGCTGAGACAAAGCACGAAAACAAACGAGCTAGCCAACAACATTCAGAAAAAGGTAAGCTAACGTTAGCATTCCATTATCAAGAGCCATTTAAAGTGCGTCGATATAAAAGTTACTGTCATTCAACAGTCGTGTTCATGGACTATCATAAGGATGGCTGCAAGTTTAATGCCAGCTGTCAACTATCTATATCTGCCCTTGTGCCTGAGCTTAAAGAATATTAATGCTTTTATATCTTAGCTGCTCGTCTCAGGTTAGCTAAACCAAACAACACGAGCCACAAACACACCTTCAAGGAATAACACTGCAATAAAATTACCTACAATTACATAATAATGAGGTGAACAGACAAACAAGTGATTGTTAAATGTTACAGCACAACAAGCCAACAGGAAAAAAAAATACCATTAAAAAAGGCATATAATAACATCACTTCCTACTGTCTACCACACACACTGCCCCTGTTGAACTATTATGATACTATATGATACTGTGACACAACAGGAGCTAGAAACGCCAGCACATGGAGCGTGATTATTGGTTATTGGTCATTGTAGAACACTGTGATTCCTGTCTTTAATGCTGTACTATTAAAGTTTATATAACTGAACTCCAACAGTGATGAACAGACATGATACTATTCCAATAGACCAAAAATGTTGAGCTGAATATACCTTCATTCATTAATCTGTGGTTAGAGATGATTCAGGTGTGTTGTTTTTGAAATAATTAGCATGTTGTGTGTTTCCATCATAATTGCAAATTGAGCATCAAATTACACGAATATGCCTCTCGGGGAACCTGTCAGATTAGCGGGACCAGATGAATCATCAATAATTACACACAGTCAGTGAACGATACTTTTGTCTGAAACAGGTTTTAACTGCGCCGTAAAGGAAAGCACGAACGGCCAAAGCACTGGTGCTGCGCAGAGAAACAGCTCTGGCTAGCAACAGAGGAGAGAAAGATAAAAGGGCGAGGGAAAAGAGGAGAAAACACTTTTGGCACTGGAATTGTTTTCTCCTCCACACTGACAGTCCTGGGAATTATTACCCTGGGATTTTATGGGTATTTATGAAGATGGTTGAAGTGGTTTATGGAAGATATTCTATTCTATAAAAAAACTAATTTCAGACTGGTTTAATTGACTCTAAATATATGGAAAAAATTTATCCTTTTACCCAATAATCAGAAAAGGCACCCAACTATCACACCCAGCTTTCAGTTTGAACAGCCAAGACGTCACGCAGAGCGAAATCTGACATTTAATTTGATCTCTATTGTTCCAGTGTATCTGCTGACGTCAATCACAGCCTGTTAGAAGTAAGTATGGATGGTGGTAAATATATAAAATTAAACCATCACTTCATAAATATGCAATACCATTATAATTACACCGCATAATGCTGTTATTCAGAAACAGACTTCTAGTTTCACTTTAAACTCTTTCTCCATTTTTACAGTAAAAAAAAGAAAATCCTTACTACAAACCGAAGACCTCGACAAAACTGTGAGCGGCTCTTTAATCTAAAGTCTAATGTAATAATAATGACAGCCACCGAACCGCAATGCCTGCAGTGTAATAATTACCTGGAGCGCAACACAACAGTGGCGGCTCGCAGATGAAAACCTACAGTGAGTATGTGGAGCGGAGCTTATGAGCCCAGGAGTCAATCAACAGCACGTTAAGTTAATGCAGCCTCAGTGAGAGGATTTCTGCTGTAATTATTGGTTTCATATTCCAGCAGCAACATGGAGCTGACAGCTTCCCTGAGAGCGTGGCTAATGACACCGACATTAGCGGAGGAGGGTGGCTGAGAGGCAGGCCAGGTGCCACTGAGAGTGTGCATGTGTGTGTGTGTGTGTGTGTATGTGTGTGTGTGTGTGTGTGTGTGTGTGTGTGTGTGTGTGTGTGTGTGTGTGTGTGTGTGTACATATTCAGCCATGAATTTGAACGTGTGTGTCTGTATATTTTCAAGTATATGGACGAATAAATTTGATCAGTGGTTATCCTGTGAGGTTTTTTATTTTAGAAATGAAAGGCTTCCATTTGAAGCTGTATGGGCAGTGTGTGTGTGTGTGTGTGTGTGTGTGTGTGTGTGTGTGTGTGTGTGTGTGTGTGTGTGTGAGATGAAGTGAGATAGAGAGAGTGAGAGTTTCAGGGGAAAACGTTAGAACTGTGCTACGTGCCATTTCTCAGCTGCGTCTGGGAACTTAAGAGATTTCGATGGAAAGTGGTCAGTGGTTGGCTGGCAGCCTAATGGCATGAAGGCAGGAGAGAGACTTGGTGTATGATCACTATCTTAAAGTGCGTGCGTGCGTGCGTGTGTGTGCGCGTGCGTGTGTGTGGTGTGTGTGTGTTTATGTTTCCATGTGTATATGCATTAGAAAATGGACACAAGCTACATATGTTTGAGTACATGCATGATGGAGGTGTGTGTGTGTGTGTGTGTGTTTGTGACTAAAGTGCACCCATGCATGTGAGGAATGTGTGCACGGTACATACTGTATGCACTTGTATAGTCACATATGAATACACTAATTACAGCTGACTGAGAGCAACATGAATGCGTGTTTCAGTACAAGCTGTTCTCTGTCTCTGTGTTTACTCCAGAAGAGAGAAAACAAGCCCGCAAAAACAAAATTGCATTATATATTTTTTTAAAGTAATACCCATTTTTTCCACAAATGTTTCCAACAGTAATATTCTAATGCATTTAGCACTAATAAACATCTAAACTAAAAACCTGTGTGAACCTAAGTGAAGAAGATAAAAATGTACAATATTTGCACATGATGACTATCAGGTGGCTGAAGGAAAAGTACAGCTTGCCAACAGGATGAAGAGGCAAACAAACAAACAGGTTGAAAACAACCCAGATGCACTTGGAAGAGAAAATATCACCTTAAACTGTCTGTTTGAAACATCCATCACAGGGAGTTTCCCATAAGCAACCATTAGAAAAGGAACAGCTGTGTAACTTTCTCTAAACATGACAAATACCTCGAAATGAGTCTGTATGATCAGAATTTGATCCACTAGAAGTGCTGTGTCATTTGAAATAAAACCCAAGTTGTCATAGACCAGAGTTTTCCTTTCTGGTTAAGACAGAATAAACTATGGTGAAAGTAGTGCTAAGGTTAGGCAACTAAAATGCTTGCTTAAAGGAATAGTTTGACATTTTGGGAATGATAAATTCCAGGCTGCATCACACTGCAATTTACACAAGACAATGAAAAACTGGGAGGCCCAGTCGGAGGAAAAGGATTCATGTGTTTAAAAGCTTATTAGACACCAAAACACAGCACAGTGGTTTTAATACTCACAGACAGGATTTTACAATTCTGGGTAGTTATCACAGCGGCTAATGTTAAATCTTTCACAGCGATGACCTCGAGGTAAACAGCAGAAATACAGCGTTCATGTTAATCTGGGTTTCAGCAAGAGTTGAAACAGATTCAATGATGTAGCATGGTTTTGGATGACCCCCCCCCCCTGCTGCATCAGCGCACATCCCCCATTCAAATGAATGCTGCATTTGTCGTGAAGAGCGAATGTCATGAACGTGGCCTCAGGCAACAGCTAGCAGCTGGTTAGCTTCACTTAGCATCCAGATAATAAAAGCTAGCCCAACTCTGTCCACAGGTAACAAAATCCACCTAAATCCACCTTGTGTGTTTAATAGTTGTGTTTCTCTGAGCACTGACTTCATGGAGTCTCTGCTGGTTGCCTGGCAACCTCACAGTGATGACACGACTCCTAGAAATAATCCTTCGAATGATGAGCCGTGGAATTGTCCAATATGAACATAATTCCTAGGACACAGGACCGAGTTTATAAATAATAAATAATCTGTAAAACCGGTTCAAAAATTCAGTCATGATGTCAAACCAAAACCGAAAACATTTCTTTGAACAAAATCGTTGGGAAACCCCTTTGTAGTGTTTCTACATTTAAAACGGTCTCATCTTGACACTGACTTTTTGCCTTGTCTCCAAAAAGGGAAACATAATCCAGGGCAAGCATTCACAGAAAAAAGTGGTTTAAAAAAAGTGCCCACATTCTTTGTTCCAAGCCCACAAAAATGTGTCTGCATTCCTCAAACTACAGCCATTTATCCTTTAACTGCACTCCAGTATCAGCTGAACTCTGACATACTGTAAAGACTGTAATGGAGTCTGTTAAACCACTTTCCCTAATCCAAAACACCTGAGAAAATACACACACAGGGGAAAGGTAAGGAACGAAAGGTAAATAATAATAACAAAAACAATGTGCTTCTTTGGTAAGCACGCATGTATGACCACATTCAAAACCACTTTGCCACTACAAAAGACAAAGTCAGATGAATGGATGATCTCTTACTCCCAGTGTAAATAGAGCTGCTGTGGTGAATTCATGGATTAGGACGGTTCATCTGATGACATCAGCTGCTTATGTATACCCAGTACACGCACAAACACACACACACATATCATATTTCAGATAACGTATTCCCAAACAATCCTATCTAATGTTTCCTCACCTGCTCACTGTTGGTCCCAGTGCAAAAAGCAGTTCAGAATATTTTTAATGACAGCATGTTAATAATGTCATTGAACTGATGAGCCACTGATTTACATATAATAACAACACTGCACCACCACGTCAAAACTAGCTAACATATTAAATCAAAATTGAGTTTAGACCTGAATCTGCCTTTTTCACATCTGCTTTATCATGTAAAACTGTAATTATGTCGTAGAAATGTTTAATTTCTGTAAAAACAGTGTTTATCAATTTGCAGTTATTGATGCGTTAATGATCTTTTATCTACCCACCTACCTACCTAAAAGATCGACTTTGATGAACTGATATCTTGGTAATTCAGTTTGTTATTCAACATAACTAAATGAGGCAGGAGCTGAATCTAATCAGGATGGAGAAAAACACCAGCTTAACTCTCTCTTAACTGCTGAAGCTAACTAGCTTAGCCGCTACCTCAGCTTCTAACTAGTGGAGTTAAATTTTCTCAGACTGAGCTAAGCATTTAAATGGCTTTAAATGTGTTCAACTGTAAATTCATTTCGTATTAAATCATTTTAAATAAAATTATTGATGAACAGCATTAATAGTTTGCAGTACTTTACATGAACTACCTTATGAAATAAATAGTAAGGCTAGTGAAATAAATAGCTAGTGACTGTTCAAAAGGCAATTTAGGAATGACACCATGTTGTTTATAATGACATGACCCCAGTGTTTTCCTGCTTGTAGCTAATAATGGTGTCATGTATTTCTCTAATAGATATTCAGGAAATGAGAATCACAGCCAAAGCCATCAAACAGTGCACACCAATTAACACGAGCGTGAAGATATCTGATCACAAACTATAATAATAATAATAACTAGTGTCATTATCATTATTATTATTGTCATTATATGGTGTTAACACAGTTTGAAATTGTTTTAAACAGTTCACAGACAGGAAAGAACAGGAAAAAAAAATATTTTCAGACAGTTTAGGGTGAGGTTAAAAAAAATAAAAACGCAACGTCAGTATCCTGTTCATCTGGGGATTTTTCCCAGACTTCCCAGACACTATCAGAGCTTTCATCAGCTGCTGTTGTCTAATACCAATGGAGTGCGGCAAATCAAATATTTGTTTATAGGAAAATGTTGTGGATTATTGTTAAATTACAAACGTCTGATAAAAATGTAACATGAACCTCAAATGGTGAAACGAGAGGCGAAAAATCATCGGTTGTTTAACATGACAACATCCAACGTGGATTCAATGACTTCATGTGACAGACAAAATGGCTGCCGTTGGGCTTTCATTTTCCTGTGACTGCGTGAGTGTGTGTGTGTGTGTGTGTGTGTGTGTGTGTGTGTCTGTGTGTGTGTGTGTGTGTGTGTGTGTGTACACAGACAAACAGAAAGTTCTGAGATGGGAAGATGATCAGTGGTAAAACAAGTCTTCTCCTCAACCTCAGCTGAAGAGACAGTTACACCCAACACGTGTAAACACCCACACACACACACACACACACACACACACACAGGCTGTACTCCTACTCTTTTGAACTTGTGATTTGCATTTCCCACCTCTTTGTTTTAGCTTGGTTTTTTTTGCTGTCGGTTTCAAGACTGACTCACATGACATTAAAACATATCTATAAATGCCATACCTAATTACACTTGCAGGAGCATGCGGTGACACCAGCAAAGAAGAATGCACCTCTGCCTGTTTTATTCAGCCCTCAGCAAAAAACTACATGACACTCTGTACTTTGTAACAATATAATCATACATGCAAATGATATCTTGGTCAACATCCTCACATTGTGTCTTTATACTTTGGAAATTAGAAAAATTTGCCAACACTTAGTCCTTATTAGAAATCATTCTGACTCTCTCATGTTTTTACCTTCGGCAATATAATATATTCAAATATTCCTGATATTAGAATAGTTACCTCCCTATTTTTCCGTTGTTTGGTGATTGCTTTCATGGGGAAATGTATTTATTTATTTATTTAAAGGCTAAAATAGGATGGGTTATTGCTCTGTTCTGAATGTCAAAGACTAGACATTGACGTAAGACGTTGTCTTATTCTGTGTCTGTTTCTGTGTGTGTGTGTGTGTGTGTTTGTGTGCGTTATCCAGTGCGTTACCTGGGTCTGCGTCAGGCCCAGTTTGGCTGCCAGGTCGGCCCTCTCGGGCAGGGCGAGGTACTGGGTTTGCTGGAAGCGCTGATTGAGCGCCTGGAGCTGTAGGCTGGAGTAAATGGTCCGAGGCTTCCTGATCTTCTTCCCCTTCCCGTTGAGCCTCACCTCCCCGTTCTCTATCACCGCTGTGGGCTTCTCGTGCTCTGGAGAAGAGATAAATATCAACACAGGGGTTTCAGCGGGGACACACGTTTGACTTTAGCATTACAGAGAACTTTATGCTCATGAAATGCTTAGAAAATAGATCCAACATGGTTTGGACCATCAAAAATTAAACCGTCCTGCTTTTTGGTCATTTTTTTTGTTTTTACTGACAGGTTTTGCTGTTACTTCTGCCAGAGCCTGCTGTGCTGTCCTATTCACCAGGTGTTTCATATTGATCAGCTTGATCAGAAACATTAGAACATATATGAGACTCATATCCAGAAATATATTTATATATATCTGAAATATAGAAACGTACTTTATTTTCCGCCTGATCTCACAGAAAATTTGTATTTATGTTTGAATTTTTTTTTTGTAGTATAGAGAACTGACGGTGAATCTGACCTTAGCCATGTAAAATTTTATCAAAATTTTACCAAAATTTTAGCACCAAATGGAAAATAAAAACAGTGGTTGTGGCATTTGATTTGTGACATAATAATAATTTGTAATGAGGTTATAAAATGCAGGGCTTTTCAATTTGTGTAATATGAAATAATCACAACTTCTCATCACTCAAAATCTCTAAAATTGCTTAATCGTGGGTGAATATAGCACAGATGAACTTACCCAGCACCCATGGGTGGAAAAACACCCAACACAAGGGCTGTTTGATCCAGTAACTCAACAGTGATACAGAAATGAGACGGAAACTGGGTCACAACAATCCACCGGTAAGTTAACCCGCGGTACGTTAAAGACTGACCCAGTGATTTTTAATGTAATTAAAACTTGTGTAGATTTTTCGCCCGAGCTGCGATGAACTCAGTGACATATATTCTATATAACTACACAGCAAAACGAATCTGTATGACAGTGGGTCCTCTCCAACCAGTTCGTTCAGTTTGTTCAGTGATACTTGCAACTCAACCAAGAGTCGTCTTTCTTTCTTTCTGTTTTTTTTTTTTTTTTTTTTTTTTTTTTTTTTTTTTGAGAAAGCATATACAAGTGTGTACGTTCTCCCACACTGATCTTTGTTATGACATCTGCTCATAGCCTCTAGTGGCAGGAGAGAACAGCTGTGAACAAGCCAAGGCCCCACAAGACGCTCAGACTGTAACTGAGCTGCAGCTCAGGAGAGAGACAGCAGCACCGCACTGACGCTCATCAGCGCCGGGGAGGAAAACTAAACTACACTTAGAGCATTTTGAAGAAGCTCGACAAAGGAAGAAAAAAAGACTGACACGCCGAAAACGCAAGAGGGCATACATTTCCAATCAGCATCACTGATTTTAACCCTTACATTTTGTTGACATTTCCTTTATCTCGGTTCCACAGACTGCACTGCTATATATGTAATAATGTAATAATAATAATATTAACAATGATTGTGAAATAAATCGTTTTTTCCTCCTTCATCTCTTCTGTTCTATTTCTAACCTCATTAAGAGCGCATACGTAGAGATGCGGAGGTATCCCTGCTGTTTGCATCAAACTGGACTGAAAACATACAGACAACCATAAAGCCTTGTTTTACATGTCATATGAGGTATATGTGAACAAGTATTATTTTCTTCTGTGTGCCAAAACACTGACAGACATAATAAATGTCGAGTGTGTTTTCCTGCAGACATTACTTATGTTGAACAGAACAAAGGGTCAGAAAACTCCAGTCACAGATTTTGAATAAACTGATTTGGGACCTGGATGTTGTAAAAAATTACTGTCAACACAGATCACCAATATAGAAACTGTAACATGTCATCAGGATATTTTGTGAAATGTAACGATAATAAAATAATGTTATGTGTTTTTCTGGAGCTGGAGTCTGTCTGCTCATTGCTGTTTGATTTATTTATAACTTTATTTATACATTATGTGGGGACAGGCTGAGAAAGCCAGTTGAAAGTGCTGATGTGGGGCTTTTTCACGCAGTGTCTCATTTATGTTTGACGTAAAAAATCTTTTGAAAGAACTTTTTTAAATTGTGAATTATCCATACTTTCAGTGATTTACGGCCGTAGACTTTCAATGAACAAGGCATGAAAACCAGCTGCGATAAAATCTCTTTACATGTAGATAAACATTACTGTAACTGCTGTACTTGTGTGTATGAACAGGGAAACTATACGCCTGTACTTCTACACACACTACTGTCATTTGTCTTGTATTGTGGGTTCCTGACAGCTTTATACTTTGTTAAAATTGACAATACAATGCAAACGGTGCTGAACAAAGATAAAAGATGAACGTTAATAAATCAAATGTTGGCAAAAATGAACCAAGATGGATGTGGACTACACGGGTTAAACAGGGCTCGGGTCTCCAGGAGCCCCGAACAGAACATTTGGGTTAAACGAGAAAGAAAGAAAAAACAAGGTGTGTTTGCCTGCAGTCAAGTATTTCTTTAATTGAATGTGTATGAAAAGCTGTATTATTATTATCATTATTATTATTATAAAAAATTTATTATTATAACTATTATTATTATTATTAGTAGTAGTAGTAGTAGTAGTAGATGCCTATATAATCAGACTGTACATCTGCTAATAAGTAATATATGCTAACATACAGTATATGATAGTTGACAGCAGTCTAATTGCTGCTCTTCACCAAATATCTGTGAGGATCTTATAAAATGAGTGGATCTATAAATTTAATATCTTTGACTTTAGTTTTTGTGTGTGCCATGTGGATTTCTGCTCTTGCCTCAAATCATACCATTCATATCATTTTATTAGATTTCTTTCGTTTTTATGGGATGTTATGTAACTTTTTATTTAAGCCATAAAATATAATCGTTAGGCCTACTCTAGGCTCTGAAGTGCATATTTCAATTAGAATCGCCTGTATATGAATTTGCTTAAATTAATCAATATTCCTCAGTGAATGTGTCAGTAAGAAATTAAAAATAATAGGATATTTTTAAATGAACTCATCTGTCTCTTCGTGAAGGTTAGGATCGTTGACATTTTATTTTGAAATAGTTTAAATCTATCACGCAGAGGAAATATTTTTTTGGTTCATTTGACATTTTGGTTTAATTAAAGTCAACTCAACAATTATTTTGTTAATCTTTATAGGTGTGAAAATGATAGAGGCTTATTATTATTATCATTGTTATTATTAATTGTATTATTATTATTATTATTATTATTATTATTATTATCATCATTATTATTATTATTATTATTATTGTAGGCCGCAGGCAGCAGAGTGTGGAGGCTGTTATTTGGGGAATGGTGGGTGAGGATTTGGGTTTGGAGAGGGAGCAGCTCCGGCCCGCTGCGGGACACCACAGGGCCGGTGTCGGCTGCTTCTTGTGGAGAGTTTCAGTGTGTGCAGGCCTTGAACTCATCTTCCGTCCAACCCCAAAGTACATTAAACACAACGCTGTGGCAGACCTGAGTGTGGATCCAATTATTGTAGCCTTCTCCACTGTGGTTTATTTTCATGTTTTCATGTTCTATTGACGCACTTCAACTATTTTAATGGCCCTGAAGAAGAAATATGGGACGAGCCGCAGCTTTTTCTGGGAATTATTTTGTTCGTATTGATGCATCCAATGTTGTCTGTGCTGCTAAATTCTATATAATCTTAACTTTAACCATCAGATTGGTTTATTAGTGAAACATAGATTTAGTATGATGGGCTCAGTAAAAATCATTTCTGTTTCATTACGACCAGAAGAGACGTTCCTAAATGCTCTCCGTTAATATAACTGTTAGGCCTGTATGAGCCAGGATGCCGCATGGTAAACACACAGGGCATGTTGGTGATAAAGCCAAATAGTAGAATCAAAAGTAAAGTGCAATCAGTTGTGTTCCTTTTTTTCAATGAAAATGTGTGTAAACGTACCCGCATCCTCCAGTCTGGTGTGTCCAAGCGCGCCGCCGTGACCCCCGTGCTGGTACGGCAGGTAGGGGCCAGGGTGGTGCGCGCTCACGGGGCTGTGGTAAGGTGGGTATCCCAGCGGGCGACCGTATGAGGATGCACCGGAGGAAAAGGGCCCGTCGTGCTGCGAGGGCCCGACGGTGTGAAGACCGTGGACCGGATAATGGTTGTGGGACAAACCGGGGGAATGCTGCTGGTGTCCGGGGTGTCCGGGGTAGCCGTGACCGCCAAACTCCAAAAACGCCGATTTGGAGGGATCAGGCGGGACTAAAGTGTCTGAAATAGAGCTCATAGTCATCATTGGGGTGAGGGGCAGTGGTGTGGAGGGAAATAAGAAGGGTCAGCTAAGACCTCCGGGCGGGAGTCATCATAAGGCAACCCACCATCAACGTTAAAGAGTCAGGAGACTTTCAGAGAAGTGTTTCAGTTTCCATAAACCGACATCAACCTTTTTAAATGTCGCTGTATTCCTGTCTGGTGAAAAGGCGGTGGAGCTGGTTTGTGTGGGTTTGCCCTCCGCTACATCCCAGCAGCAGGATCCAGATCGCTCAGAGCTCAAAACGTAGAGTCCAACTGAAACAGACAAGACGCATGGCGAGCCAAGATTCACTCAGAGGAAATTGACACAGGAACTCCTGACACAGAGGCTGAAAATTATAATAAAAACAATAATAAATCCTTTAAACTGGGCTGTTTCTTCCTCCTTTGTCTCGGTCCAGAACAACCAGTCCAGTGCTCGTCTGCTCCCGGGGTTGTGAAGCGGCTGTTGGAGTGTGTTGCTCTCCTTCAGAGCGCGCTGTGGCTCTGCTCGCACCGCGCGCTCTGCCTCCACTTGTCACACGCGGCGCGCTCATTGGCTGCGGCGCTGCACCGTGTCAAACAAATCACAACCAGCGCCGGCGGTGGACCGGCTCCTCCGGGTTCGGTAACAGAGAATAGGCCTTAATATTATACTCACGTTGAAAAGAGGTCTTAAGTGAGGAGCCGTTTTATCCATTAACATGTGATTCAGCAAAATGCTAAGTTGTGGACAAAAACATCTACAGGCGCCGAGTCCTTTCATGAAGTCAACAATTGTCTAGTTCAAGATGCCCAGTTTATTAAAATTAAAGAACTGACTAGAAATTAAAAAGAAATAATCAAACCAACAGGAAAACAAAATGCGGTTTATATCAGTTTGTTACTGTTATTAATTTCACAGGTTGACTTACGGCCTTTGAGTCACATGATCCTCATTATAGGCACCAGGATATTTACAAGTCTACAGACATATTTTAGGTTAAGATCGTTTCTCGCGTAAAATTAAATTAAAAATAGGCATATCTTTAATTTTTGCAATCACGCGTGATTATAAAGACACAGGCTGTATTTGTTAAAGTAACTGCCCACGCATGATTGGTTATAAAAGGACCAAGGCAGGTTTGGCTCATAAACCATCGGCGCTTTTCCAGAATACAATTCCTCCCGCGTGCCAAAGGCAAAATAAGGCGGATCAGACCAAATTAACTTGATAAGCTGCTGCTGAAAGGCCGCAGACCCTTTTAACCAAATTATTTTTATTAAACACACACTTACACTGATCCACAAGAATCCGATTACCAAAGGAAAAAAAAAAACGTCTTATTCTTCTTTTTCTGTTTTTATTTTCGCTAAAAATGAAGCTGAAGATAAGACTCTCTCTGAGTCAAGATCAACAACTACAAGACCTTTTTAGATACACGAAAAGAAGACACACGCAAACACACGTACACGAGCTGAGCGCACCGCCTGTGGTCCCACACGGGGGACAATTACAACAAACGTCGCTCCTCTTGAGAAACTGAGAAGTTGTGATTTTAGCAGAGCAGAGACTCTTACACTGTAATTTCACTCAGCTCACGGTCATTATGCTCATTTAAGGTGGAAATCCCGGACTATGGGCCTGCTTCAGATTAAACGACTAAACCCTCAGGATCACCAGATAAAATAGATCCATAGGCTGCTGTAGAGTGAAGTCATTTCCAGAGGAATCATTGGATCCATATTAATGATATTCGATCGACGACCAGAACAAACTGCAGAAGATTATTACAATTATCCAAAGTGTAGGCCCTCTGCAGATCAAACTAATCAAGCAGGATAACTGCTTTTAATTTCAGTGTAGCCTGGACCATACGCAGTCTTTATCCCCCTTTAGCTTTAGTGACTCTTACTGACACTTTGAAGGCATCATTACTTTTATTTTGAAGCAGCAGTAAACACAAGATGCAGTCGGAATCTCTTAAAGCTGACAAGGCCTCATGGAGTCAGGCTGATGGTTGTGGTGGATGGTGGTGTTCTGGTGCTCAGTTGTAGAAATTAACTACGTAGCTTTTTTTTCTTCAAGTAGCCTACATTTCTGAGGCTGCTCTACTTGACTATTTCCACTTTCAGCTAATTTATAGGCCTATTTCTGTTTCACTCAATTCCAGAGGTAAATGTTGTATTTTTTTTTCACTCCATGACTTTTGTCTGACAACTGAGGATTTTACCAATAAGCTCAAAAGAATCTTTAAAGATTAAAACAGACGTTCGCAACTCGTTTTGGTTTGTGGCTCCTCACAACAAAAAACAAACAAAGAAAACATCTCTGTCTGCTTTGAATCGTGTTTCAGATAAAGTGTTAGCAGCTCCATCAAAGAGGGGGAAATGTCCACTGTATAACAAAAAGCAAAGATTAGAGGAGAGACACATAAGTGTGTGTAATAGTTTATTTATTCCTCTTTAAACATCACCTATGGCCATTAGAGGAGGAACTGCTACCTAACTGTATGTAAATGGAAACACTTTATTTAGCCTTTATAAGCAGAATAAAAACATATAATAAATGGTTTGTAACACACAATGTGTTTGTAAGCACAAAAACAAAACAGAAAAAAGATAATGAAAGACAACACAGTAAAACAAAGTAGTAACAAAATCAAATCTGTCTTCATGGAAGAAGTTATAACTGCTGATAAACACTAACTACATTAATAAAGAATTAACAGCCCACAACTACATTTACATTACACTGTTTTGCATTTATTTAATGGTCGTATGCTGCTTGTAAATTCTAAATAGCGGCACCTATGGATCCACCCAACTCCACCTGGAGCAGCTACAACAGTATCACGCTGCTGATGCATCAGTAATCAGTAATATGTCACAGGGGACGTGTTTCTGTTACTTTTTAGTACATTTTCATGATATCACTTGAGTAATGTTTTTAACTTAGGACTTTAAATTCTTCTTCTACTGGTATTTTTTAGTGAAGTAAAAGATCTGGATACATTTTTATTTTGCCCCCCCCCTCCCCCCGAGGCCCACGGGCCCCTCTTTACTCACTAATCTTGGTTTTGACAGGACTGTTTGAAGACTCTGCTGTCACTGTGGACTGCACTAAAGGTAAGGTTTTACACTTACACTTACACACACACACACACACACACGCTGACTGGAAAAAAAAAACAACTTATAGCTCGAAGTTTCACTAGACAATGACAGAGAGACAGACAGACAGAGACACACACACACACACACACACACACACACACACACACACACACACACACACACACACACACGTCAGAGTGAGAGATGTTTTGGCATGCCTCTTCCTCGTTTCTCTTCTCCTGCCTCTAGGATCCGGCTTATTATACCAACGGGCTGATGTGTGGAGAGTTATTACACATCCCAGCCTGCGCTCCCGCTTTCATCCTCAGCCAACATTCCTCCCCTCCCTGACTTCACCTCTGCGAGTGCCAGCCACACCCTCCTCACTGTGTCAATGCTGTTATTTAGTGGCACAATCTTGCTAAGTCGTCAAATTCTCTTTCTCCCCCCTCCCCCCTTACACACAGACTGAAAGGTGAAGCAGTCAGTTGGCAGGGCTGGAGAGAGGTGCAACATGGGAGCACATTATCGCTCTCTTAAAACTCAATTGTGCAAGTCTGAAAATTGAAGGTTTTCTTTGGCGTTCAGGCCCAGGAGTTTCTAAGTATCCAACCGTTTACTTCAGGGAGCGGCACTAAACATAAAGACTTATCCATCTTAAATCATTCTGCAAAACTTCACTCAGTATTCCTCACATTTAAGCTTTTATTCCATGTTCTGCAGTGAATGTCGGCTGCCACATTTCTGTGAGAACAAATGTAGATGCATGTGATGAACACGGCAAACAGGTCTTGATTCAACAAGTAACACCAGCTAATGACTGCACTCAAACGACCGCTCTGATTTGTTGGCCTGCAGGGAGGCAATTTGTCATCCAGTGTCAGGGGGAGATAAGTTACTGTCCGACAGCAAGAGATGGAGCTCGTGTACAGAAGCTTGTGGGAACACGTGCAGGTCAGTTTACAGCTTCAGGGAGGAAGAACGAGAGGAGGAGGCGGACTGACAATTTCAATGAGTTGTCAAAAAATCCCATAAAAAGACCCAAACCTATAATGAATCAATCTTCCCAACAAGCGCTCAACGTTATATGGTATCTTACAGTGTCTGTGAATTCAATGCTCCACAGTGTTTATCACATAGTCGCAGTAACTTTGTCTGTCTGGTGTTTGGTGCTGGGCAGGAAGTGCACAGTGAGTCTGTCCGAGCTCTTGTGTGGTAAACAACTGCAGCTGGAAACAGGTTGAGGAGAGCGAGGAGAGTCAATCAAAACCAAAACCAATGAGCTGAGAGACACTATAACAGTTTGTAGCGCTGAAAGAAGCTGAAGTACGGTGGCCCTGAGAGCTCGACGCACTGCGACTAATGAAAACACATGCAAACACACAAGACACAAACAACTTCAGAAAACATTTTCATCACCTTGACAACACACCATGCACCATATCATTCTCTCTCTCTCTCTCTCTCTCTCTCTCTCTCTCTCTGTCTCACACACTCACACTCGGAAAAAGATGACTTATAAAGACAAATGATGAAGCCGGCTTGGACTCACTTGTTGTTCAATGCTTTTAACTCCTAAAGTCACAACAGGGCATTGAACAAGTCCCAGCCAGGTTCATAGTGTCCCGTCGAAACTCTTCTGTTGTGTTTTCTGAATTTGCAGCGTTTTTGTCTTTTTGCATGAGTTTTCTTAAGTTGCAGCGCATTGAGCTCTCAGGGCGACCGTACTGAATAGTTGGTGATGACTCTTTGTGGATTCATCACTACACATGGCCTCGTTATTTGATCCATTGTTGGTTTAAAAATATTGATTGGTGAAGGTTTATTATAGTAATAACCGTTCGACTCATTACAGTATACACTGCACCAAAAGATTACAACATTTACAAAAGCATCCACATAAAGCAAACAAAATTATATTTGTCATATTCTCCAGGAATGTCTTCATCTATTTTAGAAGAGGCAGTTTGTGTTAGCTTGTAAAAACTGTCAGTAATCCTGTGTGAGTTTGTTGCTGGTGCCAACGGACGCTAACGTGCGTGAAAATGTTTCAAGGAAAACTTTAAAAGCACAAAGATTTGCACTTATTGGGCTTTATGAATTGGAAAAAGGACACTTCCACACTGGCTTGGTGTGTCTTCCACTAGCTAGCTTACAGCTAATGTCTGTACTGTTGGTTATCAAGGACAAATGCAGTCAAATTTGCACAACTTGAGTTGAACAGCTGGGGGCAGCTGCGTCCGTCAATTTTAGTCACTTTTCAAAACAAACAACCTACACACCACCTTCACTTCACACAGAAATCTGCCGAGTGTGAGGAGGTCAGAGGCTCGGTGTAATCTTCTCTCGCA